CCTTTAAAAAAAAAGTCTTCCTGCTTATTCTAATTATTTTTATATTTAAAACAGTTCCACGATTCCTTTCATTTAAACTCTTCATTTAAATATGAGTATGCTATTTATTTAAATATTTAATGTTGCTACGCTGGTAAAAAACTAGTGATGGTTGAACGAATGTTGCACGTTACTTTGAAATGATTTATAGGTGTTATAAAAATAATATTTGAAGATGTGAAAATATAAAAAATAATTAATACAAATTGTTTATGTGAATTGAACTTTTGATTCAAATGAAATAAAAACAAGCTTGTGAATACAATTTAAATAGTTGATGAAGTCAATTAGAATAGTCCCTCCATTTACTCCTTTGATCTGAATTGAACATTCAATGAATACTATCCTTTCTTTATATTCGTTTAATATGCAATATATCAATTGAAATTATTTATTATAGACACGCATAATTATGTCCCCCATTTATTTTCTTTGTATCTTAACATTTTTTGAATAAATCAATTGGATAAAATTTCTAAAAATATTCATCTTTTGTTTCAAAAAGTTTTCATGAATTTAATTTACTATCCTATTAAGTGGAATCGATCTGTCAAATGTACATTAATCATAACTAAGAGGGTGTTTGGGAGACTTTTTATGTAAAAATGCATTTTTGAATAGTAAATTGATGAAAAATATGTGATTGAAAAATAAAGAAAAGTTTTTTATTTACGTGCAATATTATTTTAATAAAGAATGTGTGGTTGAAAAGAAAAGAGAGAAAAATGCATTTTGAAAAAAATGGATACCAAACGGGGCCTAAAAAATTGACAAGATAATTCATGATAATATTGTTCAAATGATTAATAAATCAAATACTTATTGAAAAAACAAAAAGTTACTCAATCTATCAAATATGATTAAATACATATTGAAAAAACAAAGAGTAAGAAAATGAATGTGTCAAATGTACATTCATCATAATTAAATGATTGACAAAACAATTAAAGATAATATTATTCAAATGATTCACATTATTAATAAATTAAATATATATTGAAAAATGAAATGTATGGTATTAATGAAATAATTAAATACATATTGAAAAATAAAAAGTAAGGTATTATTGAAATAATTGAATTACAGTAAGGATAGAATCGTCAAAAAAATTATTCTCACTCAATATAATATTTAATACATTATTGATTATGTATACGGGCTCATAGTAAATAGTCGCCTAGGGCTTAAAATACTCGGGGCCTACCCTAATTGGTATTTACCTTTAAACAAACGAACCCTATTTCAGTCTCCATCCTCTTGACAGTTGAATCATATATACAAGTTATGTTTTTACAACCATATCTAATCAAAACAATAACTTACTCTGAACAGACCCGGTCTTGAGGCGAGGCAGATGAGGCCTACGCCTCAGGCCCAAGACCTTAAGGGACCCAATTTTGCCCAAATTTTTTTTTTTTCCTTCTTTAAAACAAAAGAAGCCTAGAAGGCCTGCAGAAGCAAAGGGGACGTAATTTACTGTAGTGTCAAGAATATTTTGTATAAGGTTTCACATAAAATAAAAGCAAGGGAAGGGGATGTAATTTTTATCCAATAACCTACACATCAGAAGCCCAGAAGGACTCAGTCTAGGAGTGCTTATGATTTGGGGAAGGATAATGGAGGATCCAACCGAGGTTTTTAAAAGAAAAAAGCTATAAATAAACTCATGAAGAGCTTGAATGGTGATATTAGGGAGTTGAGCAAGACGCAGGAGGCGGAATTGGAAGGACTGTTAGTGCTCAAGCAATGTTGAAAGAAGGTCTGAAGGTGCCAAGGTATTCTTCGAATTTTTTTTTTTTATGTTCTTTTTCCTTTTTAATATTAAGAAAAACAAATTATTGTTTGCTGGCGAACAATTCCAGTTGATGCTTAAACGAAAATAATAAATTGCGGTGAACAATTCGGGTTGGTGTTGCCTTAGTTCTTTAGTGGCGTGTGCAGAGGATGAAAATAATAAATCTATTTTCATAATGTTAGTTTCTAAAGTTTTGTTAATATTCATTTTTAGCATCTCTTTACTGCCCTAATGGGTTTGGCATCGGTTAACACACTAAATAATGGGAGGAATCTTGGCAATTCGTGGGTGGAGACTCCAATAGAGGTGCCAGCACGGTGGATTTGCAAGGCTTAGTGCTTGAATCCCTCTTTTAATTAGTGATTACCATTTAGGCATTTGCCAATTGGATACCATGATCTGTTACTTCCCTTCCAAGTTCAAACCATATTTTATCCATCGTTTTGTTCATAAATTTGTATTTACCTAAGGCATGTTAAGACACATTTATGAATTTCTTCTGTAAATGTATGATTATCAAATCATAGGCAGATCTATTACATTACTAATTGAAGGAATTGAATCAATTGATATGGATAACTTCTTACAATGCGACAATGCCCTAAATTTAATTTTACTTAAATTTGATTGTGTAAGTTAAACTATAATAATAACTATTTAGAAATAAAGAGCACAGTCAATTTTGTGTCAAATCACAAATATAAAAGGATCTTAAGTAGTGTATAAATCTTTGATTTTATTTAAATTTTTATTTCAGACTTGTTTATTGTGACGGTGGAATTGTCAAGGGTGTAATTCCACAATTTTCGTTGAAATTCCACTTCTTATGTAAGCAATGGCTTGCCCTAACTTGTTATGGAAGATGTTGGAAATGTTTGAAACCTTGTTGACTTATATAATTGCGGCCTGGTCTGCTTATATGATTAGTTATTGTAGGATGAACAATTGCATAAGCGCACGTAGTAACTAATTGAAAACTGTAATTCTGAGATGATTGAGATATCTTGTAATTGTTTTTTAGGTTCATCATTGGACATTAGATATAGACTCATAGGCTATGCCTCCTAAATATCACAATATAAATATTTTCTATAATATATTTGGTGGTTGTTTTAATGTTAGTTTTAACTTAGCAATAGGTCGCACAATATACCTTTGAATTTTGCATTTACGTTGATTTCGCCCGATGGCCTAATTTATGAAATTTGCATCGGGCCTCGACAATCACAGGACCAGCTCTGACTCCGAAGCCCATAAAATTTATTCACCACCACACGAATCAAAGTTTAAACTCTTCATAATTTGAAATTTATGGAAAACCAAACTCTTTCCCCTTCTTTCTTCTATCTTTCCCCCGCTTCTTCCCATTATCTTCTCTTCTCCTACAATTCCAGTTCTTGTTCAATTGCGTCCATCATCACCAATTCATCTAAGTTGGTGATAAACTTCTTACACATTATAAAATGGCAACAAATTTAAAATTAGCTGTGCTATAAAAGTCAGGGTAACATGAATATGACACTTGGCAACTTGCTCAATCTGTTAAACCTCTCGTTATAAAGTACCTCCCAAGCCCATCAAAGCTTTAGACATCTCGGGAAGGATAGAAACCACATTCATAGGCCGACAATTATCTGGGTAGGTCGAACTATTGGAAGAAAATGGAAAAGAGTCATCGAAGAACTAACCTTTATGCCTCTCTCGAGGTATAACAGCGAAATATTACTGACGGTATTATGAGGTATGAAGTCCTACAATGTCAGAACCTATTAAACTAGGCTCGAGAAAAACCACATTGTACTAAAATCTGAAGATTTTACGAGTTTTATCTGAATTCCTACTATGCTGATAGAAACTTGTAAACAGATCAAAGCCTTCTCACAATCTTATTAATTTCTCGAATGCATTTACCACATCAAAAATTATACAACAAAGAAAAACCTTTTCTCAATAAATTTAGGTTGACTACATGAATCCTTTTTCGGGTTCATTGCGACCAAATAACTTGACCGAAATAAAGCATAAAAAGTTTGTTTTCATAGAGAATTCCTGGTTTGGGTTGCTCAAGTCACATAAGACTATTTCTTCAAGCTAATTATGAAATGTAATTACGTTAACTTCTATCTATTCAAGAAACTACAAATAGCAACAATCTAATCAAGATTTCAACCAAGTAAATAAACAATGAAGGTTCATTCACTCAGCACCCCCAAATTTTTACATGGGTCTAGTTACAAATTAGACACAAAAATTAAAAAATTAAAAAATTAAAATTAAAAACAAACATGGATGTGAAATATAAACAAGGCAAAAATTGACTGAACCTGAAGAGTGCTTGAATGAAGTAGAAAAGGCCGGTGCAGAGAAACGGGGTGGAAGATAAGGCAAGGCAGAGAAGTGGGTGGATTTGGTAGTGGGGAGACGGTGCATCAAGACGGCGGTCGCCGCCGTGGAAGTGGAAGCTGCCACCGCTGCCATCTAGTAGTAGCTGACCAAAAAAATGCCTTTGTATAGGTTTTGGTTCTGACTTTTGTGTCCGTGTTCTCTCTCTATTTCTTCATTGAAATACTCGCTTTGTCGTAAAGCAAAGATTTTTGTTGACAAATTCTTGTTATCCACAATAAATTTTCCTTTCTTTCGGACAATAATAAAATGATTTAGTTGGATGACACGTGGAGAAAATGAGTTTTCTGATTCGTTCATTCCCTATCCTCATAAATCCTCAATTTCTCTGCCTCTCATACATTTTCCAATCTAGTAATCAACTGTCTTTATTTGATTTTGATTTTGTATCACATTTTTTAAGAAAATTACAACAGTATCCTATTATTTATAATTTAAAGAAAAATGTTTAATTTCTTTTGAAAATGTCTAGACACCCTTGACGTGATTAGTTATAAATCCCCCAGGCTAAAATTGATTGAGAAGACAATAATACCCAATGTAGGTTTGAGCGCGATTTGGTTTGGGCCAATTTCGACTCCAATTCGAAACAAAAAGCAATTATTCAATTTGGACAAATTTCAAATCAAATCAATCCACTCTAACTCTTAAACCGAACCAAATAGATTTGGACTTTTATTCCAAATTAAATTTTTTTAAAAGAAATTGTTCGAGTTGTAGGCGCACTTAAATTATAAGAACTAAAATAACCAAATAATTTTATATTATAAGAATTATTGATTAACAAAAAAATCAAGTTAATATAGACGGATAAACAGAAAAACTTAAATTTATTTTATTTATTTTATGTATTTTTAGTCTGATTGCTTGAATATGAAAAAAAATGTCAAGTATAACATTATAAGCTTGTGAAGGAAAATTTGCAATGTTATTACTTCCAGCAACATCATAGATTAGAGAGAAATCGTGATATAGTTATGAGATTAGAGTTTAACTTTTGATTTTTATTTTTCTTAAATTAAAAAAAATGGTGAATGCGTAAGTGGGTTGGTTCGGTTAACCAACGGTTTGAGACTTCGAACTATAACTCAACCAACCCACAAAACAAACGAAACCAATTAATTGAATTGATTCAATTTGATTGGTTTGGTCGGTTTTTCAATTTTTTTAGCTCAATCCTAACCCCAGGGCACCACCAGACCCCATAAAAAGCCTATTATTCATTGCTCAGTCGATCGTCGATGGTCCACTTGTGAAAATAGTTGATGCTGCTAAAAGGATTCATCTTCGTCATTTAAATAAACAAGGTTCGATCCAACTAACATTTAGAGGAAGGTGAATAAGTGTAATATGCGAAATTAAAAATTAACTAACAATAACATACAATAGTCACAAATTTTGTATTTAAATAAATTGAAATCAATTTAAACTCTGACAATCAATCAAACATAAATAACAAAACAAAAAAGCAATCAACACCAATATTAGGTTACAAATGAAAAACTTATGAATAACTCTTTAGAAAAAAAATAAAAATAAATAATCCTCTGGCCACCCCGTGCTAGTAAAAGATCCACTATAAAATATTAAACTTATAGAATTGATCCAAACACAACTAATCCTCAATAGACTTTGACCCACAACCTATAATCACCCAACAACTCCTCGGTTGCGCGCTCAACACCAACTCTAGAACCTCTGAACTTATTTTCTCTTTGTAGATCACCAAGAGCGAACTCATTCTTTACCAATCGAAACTCCAGCCACCTCTCCAAATCTTCATAACTCTGCAAAATATTTGAAAAATGTTTATTTCGTATTTTGATCTTTTGGATTTTTGATATTTCGACATTGTGGTTAAAGCAAGAGAAATTCAGAATCAGTGTATGTTCTTTAATAATATGTTTTCTTCAATGAATAATGACTCAACCCCCAATAAGGACCTCTTCTGGCTTAGGAATTTATAATTGGAAGACTTCTAGGTTGTTTGGGAATATAAAAAGTGTAAAAATCGCGAACCTGATTTTCCCCAAATGGCACATCGCTTGAGTGCACATCTGGCACCCATTGGGCTAGCACTTACTATTAAAATCGTTCGAGCTGTCTGTCTGACAACCAATGAATGATATTTCCTCAGCTTGATCTTTTTTAGTTGACTTTGACTCCTTCCAAAGACATTCCAAACCTGTGAAAACCTAGTCCGAACTAAAACTAGATAAAATCATGTTTTGGACATGAAAATTGCCAATATATTTTGGACCTAACAATCAGCCCGTTTGTCATCCTTTAACATTTTAAAATATTTACTACAGTATCGTTTTTCACCACAAATTCACACAATAAAATATTCTACACAAAAATCAATAAAGTTTCCTTATCTTTTAATCATACATTCTACAAAAAAAAAATTATTCAAAACTCTTTAATTTCCAAATAATGAATGACAAACAGGGGCTTAATATCTTCAATTACATCGCCCCCCATATGTGATTTGACTTCACATCACATCTTTCGCTCTCGTAGATAGCTATATTTTTCCAATATTATTAGCGTGATTGATGCACTCTTCTTCACATATTTTGTGCTCATTTTTCATATATCTTGCATGACACATCCCCATAAACCCTATTAATGTCTCTCTAGTAAATGGCCAAGGAATCGCTTCCAAAAATTGTCACCATTGCTCAAAAACCCAATCCAATCCTGATTTCTTCGACTACATTATCGATCGTCGAAGATTCAACCTTGTATTGCATATTTCGCTCCCGTTGAATTCTATCAATGGTCAAAAGTATTTTTATTTTAGGGTAATTAACACAAAAGATCCCTACCTTTTCAATGTTATTGTGCAAAACGTTCATACCTTTCATTTTTGTACTTATTCTTACGTTTCATTGCAGAAAACATTATTTTCACCATTTTTTAATGGGTAATTGGCACAAAACGTCCTTACATTTCAAGTTTATTGTGAAAAACGTCAATATCTTTCATTTTTTGACATTTTCGCCCTTACCATCGACATTTCTTTGCTCTGAACATCATTTTCACCAAATTTTAACGTAAAATGATCAATATACCCTCATATTTAAATAAAAGAAAAAAGAAAAGAAAAATAAAGAATAAATTACAATATTACTCTTAAATGTTTTGAAAAGTGCAAATGATTCTAACTAATTATTAAAAGACCTAATAGCACAAAGCATCCCTACATTTTGCATATAGTGTGCAAAACGTCCCTACATTTCAAATTGGTAAAAAAGGACGTTTACCGTGAAAGTCCAAGAATGACTAACCAAAAGGGGGGTGAATTGAATATTTAAATCTTTTTCAATAATAAGTGCTAATAAAAATAATTTGCAAATAAAATAAAGAACACACAAGATAACTTTGAAAAATAACAAGAGAAATGGATAGAAAATGCAAACGATGTGTTATGGAGATTCGATCCAATCACGATCTACAACCCCCGTTACCATGCTCTCCGTCACGAGTAAGGTCTTTTTCACCAAATGTGATTGACTTATGGTACAATCCAACTTTCTACAAAGCTTTCGGTGATTTACAAATAAGGAGCAATGATTCTTTTACAACGTTGAGCTTTTCGGGACTTCAACACGACCCACAATTCAATCAAAAGTAAACTTTACAAGAAATGAATCTTCTTCCACAATAAAGATATATTCAAAGTTGAGTAGAATGAAAAGAAGTAGGCTAACACTTTAATGAATAGCAATAAGTGAAGCTCAAGTATTAGGTTTGAAAAAACTTTGATAAATGAAATGATTTTCAAAAGTAAACTCAATCAAAAGTTCTCCAAAAGTGAATGAATTGATAGAAATAAATAAAGAGTAGAGGGTTAAAGCTTGAATGTATCTTAATTTAATGCTCTCGGAAGTGATAATAATGAATGCAAGAGGTAGTGTTATTTATAGAGTCCAAAACATTAAAAAATCTGAATTTGCGGAAGACTCGTTCAGTCGACCGCCTCTTGTCTGAAAGACCAATATAGCCGTTTGTACGGTAAAAATCAAAAGTCAGAATGATCAAATTCTGAGCCGTTGGAGGGAGTCCGGTCGACAGCCTCTCATGGCCGGTCGACCCGTCCGGTTGACGGCCTCTTTAGGCGGTTGACTGTCCCGGCAGTGTGGTCTTTTCACATTTTGACCTCGTTTGTTCCGATTTGAAAGTTTTGAAGTGTATGGACTTTTGAAAAATATTTTTAACTAAATTTTCAAAATTAAAATGTCTTTAAAGTCCATATATCATTTTTAAAAGTCATTTTCATGTTTGATAAAAAAGGTCGCATTCAAATTATTTTAGTGCACAAAATTTATTTTTAATGCATAGCAAGATTTTGAGCTTAACTATTCTTTGTCAAATATCAAAGCATTAATATCTTTATATTTTGCCTAAGAAATCAAGTTTTTACTCCGAAATTTGTCTCTTCTTGATCTTTCTTTGATGTCATCTCTCACGCTCTTGATCTTGATTTTTCTTGGCATTTATCTCTTAAGCTTTTTATCTCGAATGATTTGACTTGAATACATGGCTTCCACTTTGATGTTCATTTGAAGTCCGATAATACATGATTGATTTGAACATTGAACTATCATCACTAAAAAGAATTTGTTAGAAACAAAAATAATCTTATTTGTTATGATCAAAACATTGAGGATTAAGTCGACTATATGTCAACATACCGCAATGAAACGTAGAGACAAGGATGAAAACCAAAAAAATTAAAACGTAGGGATTTTTTCACAAGAAGTGTCAAAAGTATAGATTTTTTTCTATTAGGCCTTATTAAAATATTAAAAATAACCAAAAAAAACTCTCTCTCTCTCTCTCTCTCTCCCCCCCTCTTATTCTCAAAATAGGTCAGACACCTTAGAAGTCAAAAAATTCTAGCAAATCACCACCCAAACTACTGGACCACTATACCACCGAAAAGCCTTCACTTCTCTCCACATATACCACCCAACATCCAACTTTGAAACCTCATGCCAATAGATTTGTTTGAAATTGCAAGCCAAAATACCCAACTCACGAATGAAAATACTGACGGTATTACCTGTTTCGGAGATACCCATGCCATTTTTAACACATCAATCGACTATATTCACTAGGGTGCCTCTCTTCTTGATTTTAAAATATCAACAGATGGTTCAACGGTATGGAGGTT